AAGCTGTCATCATCAAGACAGTATGGTACTGGCACAAAAACAAACACATACATCAATGGAACAGAATAGACAGCCCAGAAGTAGACCCTCAAATCTATGGTCAACTAATCTTTGACAAAGCAGGAAAGAATGTCCAATGGAAAAAAGACAGCCTCTTTAACAAATGGTGTTGGGAAAATTGAACAGCCACATGCAGAAAAATGAAACTGGACCATTTCCTTACACCACACACAAAAATAGACTCCAAATGGATCAAAGACCTCAATGTGAGGGAGGAATCCATCAAAATCCTTGAGGGGAACACAGGCAGCAACCTCTTCAACCTCAGCCACAGCAACTTCTTCCTAGAAGCTTCGCCAAAGGCAAGGGAAGCAGGGACAAAAATGAACTATTGGGACTTCATCAAGATCAAAAGCTTTTGCACAGCAAAGGAAACAGTCAACAAAACCAAAAGACCACTGACAGAATGGGAGAAGATATTTGCAAATGACATAACAGATAAAGGGCTAATATCCAAAATCTATAAAGAACTTAGCAAACTCAACCCCCAAAGAACAATTAATCCAATCAAGAAATGGGCAGAGGACATGAACAGACATTTCTGCAAAGAAGGCGTCCAGATGGCCAGGAGACACATGAAAAAGTGCTCCACATCACTCGGCAACAGGGAAGTAAAAATCAAAACCACAATGAGATATCATCTCACACCAGTCAGAATGGCTAAAATTAACAAGTCAGGAAACTATAGATGCTGGCAAGGATGCAGAGGAAAGGGGAACCCTTCTACACTGTTGGTGGGAATGCAAGCTGGTGCAGCCACTCTGGAAAACAGCATGGAGGTTCCTCAGAAAGTTGAAGATAGAGCTACCCTATGACCCAGCAATTGCACTACTGGGTATTTACCCTAAAGATACAAATGTAGTGATCCAAAGGGGCACATGCACCCGAATGTTTACAGCAGTAATGTCCACAATAGCCAAACTATTGAAAGAAACTAAATGTCCATCAACAGATGAATGGATAAAGAAGATGTCATATATCTATATATCTATATATAAAAATATATATAGATATACATACAATACTATGTAACCATCAAAAGAAATGAAATCTTGCCATTTGCAATGACATGGATGGAACTAGAGGGTATCATGCTGAGCAAAATAAGTCAATCAGAGAAAGACAATTATCACATGATCTCCCTGATATGAGGAATTTGAGAGGCAAAGTTGGGGGTTTGGGGGTTAGGGTAGGAAAAATGAAACAAGATGGGATCAAGAGGGAGACAAACCATAAGAGATTCTCAATCTCACAAAACAAACTGAGGTTTGCCAGGGGTAGAGGGGTATGGAGAGGGTGGTTGGGTTATGGACATTGGGGAGGGTGTGTGATATGGTGAGTGCTGTAAATGTGTAAGCCTGATGATTTACAGACCTGTACCCCTGGGGCAAATAATACATTACATGTTAATTTTAAAAAGTTAGCCATTAAAAAAAAATCAGGTTTAATATAGAAAGATTGAAAACAAAAGGATGACCAAGAGGAAGCATGAAATGCAAACAGACTAGGTGGAATTAAGGCTAAAGGAAACATGTAGGGTAAAAGAAGGATATTTTTAAATGTTAAAGAGAATAAATAATCATAAGCCTGCACATACCAAAAATATAGTAGCTAAATAGAGAATTACTGAGAACTGCAAAAAGAACCTAATAAAACACAGTTATAGTGGGAGGTTTTAATATACCTCCTTTAGAATTAAAGAGACATAACTTCATATTTGAATAAAGAATGCATTTTTATGTGGCTAAAGAATATCCACAAATCTCATCTACTTATTCACTGCTGAGAAAACATTAACTTCCAAAAAGTTAAGATTTTAGGGCAACCTACATTATCCTAAAGCAATAATTAGAAATAAAATTTAAATTAAAAGATATTCCCAACTTAACAGTCAGAAATTAAGAAATGCACTCCTAAAATACCCTATATCAGAGAGGAAAAAAAAAAAACCTCATGAAAATAACCCTGTTTCTTACCTATGGGAACAAAGGCAAAATCTATCCTCAGAAGAAAATTTATAGTAACAACTAAAATTAGTAATTCTTGTCTTTATAATGCAAAAAAAGAGAAAATGAATACTTTAACAATTTATTATTTGTAATACTTTAAGAGAAATGATTGATATGAAAAAGAGAGCTTTCATACATTAAATTCCAGCTGAAATTAATGAAACGCAAGATAAAAACTAGTTAAAAGGCTACATCCTAAATCCAAAGCTAGCTTTTTGAAAAAGCAAGTCATGAATAGTATGAACTCCTCATGACCATTGTTAAGAATTCTTGAGTAAAGAGGCCCCTGGCTGGCTCAGTCAGTTAAGCTTCTGACTCTTGATTTCAGCATGAGTCATGATCTCAGGGTCATGAGATCAAGCCCTGAGTCAGGCTCCATGCTCAGCAGAGAGTCTACTTGAGATTCTCTCCCTCTCCCTCCCCCTTACCCCTCCCCTCGTTCATGCTTAAATAAATAAATAAATAAAATCTTAAAAAAAAAAAAGAAGAGCAAAAATGTACAAGATTTGGTATGAGAAAGAATACATAAGCAAAGATGGGAAATACATTAACTGAGCTATTATAGAATACTAGAAGCACTTCTCTCTGATGTATTTGAAAACCTAGAAGAAATAGATCATTTCCTATCATACAATAAATTATTAAAATTGACATCATAAGCTTGAAGAGAGCAATTTCTGAAGTAAAAATTGAAAGCAGTTGACACTTTCTCACTGAACAAGTCACCAGGTCAAAAGGCTTCAAACCAGGTTCTATCTATCTTTTCAAGAATGAATAATCCCAATGTCACTTCAACTATTCCAGACCTATAAAACACAGACACTTCTGTATTAATCCAACAAGGCATCAGAACCACAGTATTCAAATATTTGCAAGAAAGTAATATAGATGCAAAAGAATATATTAAAAATTTTAGCCAATAAATCAAATGTATGAAAATATATTGATGTATGAAATTAATAACATCCCATGACAAAATGGGGCTTCTTTTTTTCCTTTTTTTGAGAGGATGAAATTTATTTATTTATTTTCTTTTGAGACTTTATTTAAACTCAAGTTAGTTCATACATAGTATAGTATGAGTTTCGGGGAAGGATTTAATGACAAATAAGATTTCTTACAGCAGGTTAGGAATGGTTAGGTTATCACTATGAGAACATCTAAGAACATAATTTATTCCATCAATAAAGTAAAGGAAAAATCATATGAGCATGTCAGTAAATGACAGAAAAGCAAAAAGTAGAATCAAGCAATTATTACTAATAAAAATTCAATGTAAATTAAGAATTAAGCTCCTAATATTATAAAACATACCAAAAATAGTGGCAAGTATCATTCTAAATTATGAAATGTTTATTATTTTAATTAAAATCAGGAAGAAAATGAGGCATGACTGCTATCCTCATTATTGACATTGTGTTAGAAAGTTTGTCAAATGCAGTATGTCAAGAAGAGTACATAATTTTTCTAAATGTTAGGAGGAAGATATTTTCATTTTTCCCCTGATATGATTATATATCTATAAAACTCAAGAAATTCTAACTAGAAAAATATACATTGTAACACAATAGTCTTTTTTCTATATTTAAATGGAAATGGGAAGAAAACATACCATTCTCATCAGTAAAAATCTATAAAATACTTAGTGGTACATTTAGCAAGAAGAAAAAATTAAGTTCTCCAAGCACTAGCCCTCACAGTATTTAATTCAGTACCAACTCCATATTTGGATAACATCAGACACTCACCATTTCATTTCATATATTTGTGTCTTTGTGCATGCTGTTCCTCCTGCCTGTACATGTTGTTCCTTCTGCCTTCACATGCTGTTTCTCCTGCTGCACACGCTGTTCCTCACACCGACACATGCTATTCTTCCTGCCTGCATACGCTGTTCTTACACCCACATATGCTGTTCCTCCTACCTACATATACTGCTCCTCACACCCACACATGCTGTTCCTCCTGCTGCACATGCTGTTCCTCATATGAACACATGCTATTCCTTCTACCTGCACATGGTGTTCCTCCTACCTGCACATGCTGTTCCTTCTGCTGCATATTCTGTTCCTCACACCCACACATGCTGTTCCTCCTGTCTGTACCTGCTGTTCCTCCTGTTGCACATGCTGTTCCTCCTGCTGCACATTCTGTTCCTCATATGAACACATGCTATTCCTCCTACCTGCACATACTGTTCCTTCTGCTGCATATTCTGTTCCTCACACCCACACATGCTGTTTCTCCTGCTGCACATGCTGTTCCTCACACTCGCACATGCTGTTCCTCCTGCCTGCACATGCTGTTCCTCATATGAACACATGCTATTCCTCCTACCTGCACATGCTGTTCTTCCTGCTGCATATTCTGTTCCTCACACCCACACATGCTGCTCCTCCTGTCTGTACCTGCTGTTCCTCCTGCTTGCACATGCTGTTCCTCCTGCCTGGACATGCTGTTCCTCACACCTGTACATGCCATTCCTCATGCCTGGACATGCTGTCCCTCGTACCTGCACATGCTGTTCATCCTGCCGGCAATACTTTTCTCCCCTTTAATCCAATAAATTGTTTTTCCTTTAGAAACCTCATCTCAACCAACCAACCAAACAAACAAAAAACCGTCTCAGAGTTGATCTTTGCTAGCTTCCCCGATCTCCTCCAAGCAGAGGCTCCCTTCAGGTGAGGAAGGAGAGAAGAGAAGATGGAGAGAAGGGGGTGAAGACAGGAGGGAAAGGGAGAGAGCCGAGGAGGCAGCGAGAAAGGGGAGAAGTCAAGATGAGCAAGAATTAAGCCCATGTGGAGAAGAGGCTGCAAAGCCTTGAAGAGACCTCCTACCTCAGACTGTCTGGCAGGCCTCCCCCACTTCCTGCCCATCCTGTCTCTCCCCTCCAGCAGATCTAACTCCCCGCTGATATCTGTCCAATCGCAGACCTCGACATCAAGGATGCAATCGCCCTGGAGTCCATTCAGCGGTCCCTGCCGTACCACCGCCAGAGCGTCCTGGACCCCCTGCTGCAGGAAACGCCGGTCTTCGGTCGGAGGTCGACCCTCCTGAGAGACTGGGTACTAAGCAGGTCCACCGATATCTCCTACGAGCGCAAGCTGAAGAGCCTCATGGAGAAGGGCACCGAGCCCAAGGCGGAACTGGTGAGGATGCTGAAGCCAGAGGAGGTGCTGAGCTGCCGGTGAGCCGCCCTGGTGGGCGGGGCAGGGGCAGGGCGCGGGCGGGGAGAGGCTTTGGTCATCTCCTTCTGCCGCAGACGCCTGGGCTGAGCCTGGGCCAGGGAAGGGCAGCGGCGATGGGCAGGACTGGGCTCTGTCTTTGTGTCCTGAGGGGCGTTCCGGGGCTGAAGCCACTGGGTTTGCCGGCAGCCTCGCCCGCTAGTGGACGAGCTCTGGGATGGGCACAACATTTGGGTACCACGTGTTTGGACGCTGGCACCACCCTTCCAATATTTCCATACGTTTCACAATAGAAACCATGACTATGATCCAAGAAGAAAGAATGCATTGTCTGTGCCTTTTTTTTTTTTTAAGATTTTATTTATTTATTTGACAGACAGAGATCACAAGTAGGCAGAGAGACAGGCAGAGAGAGAGGAGGAAGCAGGCTCCCCACTGAGCAGAGAGCCTGATGCGGGGCTCGATCCCAAGACCCTGGGATCATGACCTGAGCAGAAGGCAGAGGCTTTAACCCACTGAGCCACCCAGGCGCCCCATCTGTGGCCTATTTTTAACAGGAAATCCCCCTAAAAGCCTTCACACCTCGGTGTGGAGTTGCCTGTGGTCCTCGCCACCATCCCGGGTGGCCATCTGCTGCGCGTGTGGAGCTTAAAACTCCCGGAGGCACTATGAACAGAGTGTGAAGCCGTTTAGTATTTACTATCCCTATCAGAGGTCTTCCTTCTCACGTGTTCTCTGTCTTCTTTATCAAGACCTGCTGATTTCCATCCCCAAATTCAAGGACCCCTCCCAACCCCGGTGCTAGCCTTTACTATAAAGAGGTGAAGGACAGGGCTCAGAAACTTCAGTAGAGGAGGAAACAGACAACAGACTATTTTGGGTGTCCTTGTAGACAGAGCAGCAGTGAGCTCCTCCGCAGGTGTCGGATGGCCTCAGATGCCTGGCGTCTCGTGACCCCACTTACCAAGTCTGCTCTGCTCACTGACTGGCTGAGAGATGGGTGGGGGAATGGCAGCCCCCCCACCAGCCAAAGGGGGCTTCTTGTTTGACCTCTCCATGGATGGATGACTTTGACGATGGCTTTCAGTTTGACAGAGGGGTGCTCATGACTCTGGCCAGCCGACGGCCGACCTGGGCTTCATGGTGGGCAGACGAGAGATTTGGACAGGGCTCCTAACCTGCAAGGGCGGGGAGAGAATATTTGGAGAGATGGCATCCAACGAGCCATTAGAAAAACATCCAAGGAAAAGATGAAGTTGTCCAGAATGGGATCTTCGTGAGTGCTGATGTGTGCATGTGTGTGAGACCCTCCAGGGCCGGGCAGGGCAGAAGGGGAAGGAGCAGACTCTGCCTGGTGCTGTCAGAGAAAGGCAGTCCAGACATGAGGCTGGGAGTGCAGTGTCAGATGGCTGTAAAAACAGGTAAGGGGCACGTGGGTGGTTCAGTCAGTTAAGCCACTGACTTCGGCTCAGGTCATGATCCCAGGTTCCTGGGATCAAGCCCCGCATCAGGCTCCCTGCTCAGCAGAGAGCCTGATTCTCCCTCTGCCTCTGTCTGCCACTCTGCCTACTTGTGCTTGCTCTCTGTCAAATAAATAAATAAAATCTTAAAAAAAAAAAAAAAGGTAAGCAACAGGCAGATCTTGAAGGACAGGGAGACCATTCCCGATGGGTAGAAAACCCAGTTTATTTCAGTATGCAGCTCCTCCCCCATCGTCTGTAACAACCAACCAGCAGGTGGCCCGAGTAAGGGACCCACCCCCTTAGACTAAAGCAGGGAACAAGGTCAAAGCCACTGGTAGAATAAGGAGCTCGGAGGATATGACGGGCGATATACTCTCTAGACCACACAGTGTTGAAGGGATCAGTTCCACTCTCCAGTGTAAGTCAGAATTGTGGGGTTTTAGCTAAGATTTTAAATCACTGGCCCGTTTTTTTAATTGTTTCAGCATTATTAAAAAGAAAATACTCCCTTTTCCTACAACCTTACTCAGCTTTTATTGCCACTGTTCTGTATTTTCGCCCAGGCTTCAGCATCCCTGAGGTTACCCAGACATGTTAGTGATGGGGCGCTCTGACAGTTGCCTCCCTCCCCACGTGGCATCACATGTCACCTTCACCGTAGGACACCTGCTTCTACCCAGTGCCGTGTCAAAGCTGGCAGAAGCATCCTTGAGATGGATATCCCATTATTTGCTTAACCACTCCCCAGTTGATGGACTCTCCTCTTTTCCTGTTGTTGATGACCCCGAAATGAACGCTTTCATTTATATACCTTTTCATTCCATTGACTTCTCTTGGGATTAGTTAAGGCCTTAGTGGAGTTCCAGAGTCAACAATAATGAAGGAACTTTTGAGGGGGTGGAGGGACTTGCGGGGATGGGGATGGTGCCTGGCACATTTGTTGCCAAATTAATTTCCAAAAGAGCTCTACCAATAAAAACTCCCACCAATTCTATGGGGTGTCCCACTCTTCCGTAGGATCTCTGTCAGCTCCAGAAATGTCTGCAGAGCCAGCTCCCGGGAGAGCTCCCACAGTGCTTAAATCTGAGCTCTTTTCAATAAAGTTCGAAGCGACGGTGACTCCGAACTCCTCTCACCCCTCTGGCCCTGTCTTGCGCAGATACCTGAGGCTGTCCAAGAACAACATTCGGACCTTGCTGAAGCTATGCAAGGACGCGGGCATGAACGTGGACATCCACCCCCACATGGTCGAAGGAGAGATAGATGCGAAAAAGGTGTTCAACCAAAACCCCAGCGTGGCCCTCTAGGTCACCACAGGCTCCCTCTGCTGTTGGGCCCTCGGCCCCCAGACGACACCCTCCGGTATGCCAGGCCTAGGCCTTCAGACCTGGGGCGTCCCTTTTAGACAGTAGCCATCAGAAAACAAGGCTGAACTGCATGGGCCATAGTGCAAAGGTAGCGTTTGTCCTTGACCTGAGTTAGAACCAACGCCGGGGAAACTGCAGGTCGTCTCCCCACCAGAAGAAGATGCTGTAGAAAGGCTGTCTTAGAAAAGCAGGCTTAGATGTGAGAAATGGAGACCCAGGGTCCCCAGAGGGACATCAGGAGGGGCAAGGGGTGAGGGGCTGGTTGGTGGAGAGACACACACCTCAAGTCTTATGCACCACCCCACCCCTGCCCATGCAGGACTGTGGGGAGCTGAATGCCACACCTTCAAGGGACGGCTGGGTGTTTCCAGACCCTCACGGGGTGGGGGGCTGCTGTGGGAGCCTCACTTTTCAGACCCCAGGTGCTCCCACCGAGTCGGGTTGCAAGCTTCTCCTGGGCATTAGCAGAAACAGCAAAAGAGAGGGGAAAGGAGTACACAAGAGAGACGCTGCCCCACTCCAGACCCTAGGGCCCCCTGGGTGCTCTCCTGGGGTCCAGAGGGCTTTCCTGTGTGGACTCCACAAGCGCAAAGAGCCTCCAACTCAGCTTCCTGACGTTCTGACCAAATAAACCTACAGTGAGCCCCAAGATTCACAGCTAACATTGAGAAAGGAACATTCATCCGTATTTATCAGGAAGGCCACTGAAAAGCAACCCCAAGCCAGAGTCCCTTGGCAGACACCACCAACGGCAGCACACTATGCACAGTATTTTATAAACTCTGAAATGGCCTCGTGATTACATTTTCTAGCAGAAACACACACGTACACCAGGAACAGACTCACACAGGTATAGTCCCCTGGTTTATGGCAAAGGTGACACTGTGGTGCAGTGGGGGGAAAAGACAATCTTTTCAATAAATCAGGCTGGTCAATTAAATGTCCATATGGAAAAAAGTATCGACCCTCCGCCTCCCGCCATATGCAAAAATCTGTTCCAGATGGATGCAGTTTGTGAAAGCTTCCAGAAGAAACAGAGAAGACAATCTCCACGACCTTGGGGTGGGCCAAAAAAATTTAAACAACACAAAAAGCCTCAGGAATAAAAGAAAATATTAATAAATTTACCATAGTGAAAGCAGAACGTCTGCTCTTCAAAACATCAGTAAGAGAGCGAGAACGCAAGTGACCCCAGTGGGAGAAGATAGATCCTACAAAGGGCTCGTATGCAGATGACCTGTTTTCAATTCCTATAAATCAGTATGAAAAACGCAGGTAACTCAATCAAAAAATGGGCCAAAGTCTTGCATAGGCAGTTTGTGGAAGTGTTTAGCTAAATGACCAACAAACGTAAGAAGTTTCATTTAGTTTTCAGGAATGCAAATGGAAAGAAAAAAACAAGGCAGCACCACTAACATCCACCAGAACGGCGAAAAAGAGTGACAAGAGTTGCTTGGGTGGCTCAGTCGGTTAAGCATCTGCCTTCAGCTCAGATCATGATCCCAGGATCCTGGGATCGAGTCCCACATGGGACTCCCCACTCAGCGGGAGAGTCTGCTTCTCCCTCTCCTCCCCGCTCATGTGCGCTCTCTCACTCTCTCTGTCTCTCTCAAATAAATAAAGAAAATCTTTTAAAAAATAAAATAAAGAAAATTTAAAAAGTGATAATATCAATTATAATTGGAAATAGAGAGCCAGGAGAACACTCAACACGTGGTTGGGATGGGAGGTGGGCACGGCCAGCCTGGAAAGCTGACAGTATCTACAAAAGTTGCCCATACACCTGTGGGCCCAGTGTTTCCATTCCTAGATACCTGGCAGGATCCTAGGTGCCCCCAAAGACTGTCCCAAAATGTTCCTCGTGGCTGCATGCTGGAATCCACGTAAACATCCATCGGCAGTAGACAGGAAAGCTCACGGCATATTCATACAGTGGACTAGTGCATAAAACCGAGAATGAACAAATATGCAAGAACAAAGCACACAGCATCGTGCAGAAGTAGCAAAATAGGGGCACCTGGGTGGCTCAGTGGGTTAAAGCCTCTGCCTTTGGCTCAGGTCATGATCCCAGGGTCCTGGGATCGAGCCCCGCATCAAGCCTGCTTCCTCTTCTCTCTCTGCCTGCCTCTCTGCCTACTTGTGATCTCTGTCAAATAAATAAATAAATAAAATCTTAAAAAAAAAAAAAAAAAGAAGTAGCAAGATACAAAAGGGAACAACTGTATGGTTCGTGGATACAGCAATCTTCCAGGCGGGACGAGTCTACTGAGTTAGAAGACAGGACAGCAGATAGCTCCTGGAGGAGGAGGTGTCGTGGCTGGAGGGACACCAGCAGTGTTGCCTACACAGGTGTTCACTTGTGAGGTTCATTCCCTGTACACTTGGGATTTATGCCTTTTAGGCAGGTACATACTTTAATTAAAAGTACATTGTTTTTAAAGTATACTACCAGAGTTCTGGTTTTGTTTGTTAAAAACAGAAATAGCCTCAAAAGTGAGGCACTTCGGGTTCCCCCCACCTGCACAGTGAAGCCGGCCAGGGAGAGTAGAAACTTCCAGTTATAAGAAAAATAAGTCCTGGGGATGTATAGTCATGATGACTTTGGTTAATAATGGCATGCTGTTTATTTGCGGATTGAGTATATTTGGGTCTTGAAAATTCTCATCACCAAAAAATGTATCTTGCACACCAGAAGCTGATAACTTATATGATAATTGTATCTCGATAAAAAATAAAATTAGAAAAATTATTTAAAAAAAATAGGAGTCTCGGAGAAAGACAATTATCATATGATCTCCCTGATATGAGGGAGAGGAGATGCAACATGGGGGGTTAATGGGGTAGGAGAAGAGTAAATGAAACAAGTTGGGATTGGGAGGGAGATAAACCATAAGTGACTCTTAATCTCACAAAATAAACTGAGGGTTGATGGGGGGAGGGGGGTTGGGAGAAGGGGGTGGGCTTATGGACATTGGGGAGGGTATGTGCTATGGTGAGTGCTGTGAAATGTGTAAACCTGGCGATTCACAGACCTGTACCCCTGGGGATAAAAATATATTATATGTTTAAAAAAAATAAAATTTATTAAAAAAAAAAGAAAAAAAATAGGAGCCTCAAAAGTAAAGGAGGTTCAGGGTTCCTCCCTTCCCCTCCTCCTTCCCCTCCATAGCTGCAGTTCCTCCTCAGCGCCACCAGGTGGGGATCGATCACAGCAGAAGACCTGCACCCACGCTTCCCCAGCTGCCGCTGGTAGAGGCTTCAAGCCCAGGTGAAGGGTAGCGGAGCCCCAGGTGACTCCAGCCTGAGCCCGGGGCCGATGGACAAAGCCCAGCTACGCATGCACCAGTTGAGGGCCCCTGGGCATGTAACTCCTCTGAAGCTTCAATTCTTTCCCCAAAATGGGGACAAGAAGTGCAATTTAAAACAACAATGAGGTATATCGCTTTACACCTAATTAGACTGGGAAATATTAGTAAGCTGGGGAATGCCAGTGTTGGCCCAGATAAGGAAATAAAGGAGCTGCCGGCCTCGCCAGTAGGTAGTGCAGGCCGTCGTGGCCTTTCTTGGTGAAGTCACACAGACATCGCAGTGACTAGCATTCCACTCCTGCGTATTTAGTCCAAAGAATTTCCATCACAGGAGATCTGTTTGATCTCCCCCCAGTGCTGACAGATGCTGGGGTGCTGCGGCCGTCCATGCATGGGAAGGTGGGCGGCAGAACGTGGTGGGATGAGCTGCGACACACTAACCTTCGTCTGAACTAGAAAGACATACCTATAAACAATACACTGCGTGAACATGTGTAAATGCATGAGGACAGCTGAAATAGGAGAGGGAAGGAAGGAAGGGGAGAGGGAGGGAGGGAGGAAGGGAAGGAAGGAGGAAGGAAAATGTGGACAAGAACACCAAGTTTCTAGGATAGTTGTGAAAAGAAGAATCTAAGGGAAGCTTCTATAGATCTTTAGCATTTTGTGGGCACCCAATACATTATTTTCTGTGTATGCCTTTATACATTAATATTTCTTGAATACCTATTGTGTGTTATGCAATGTACTAGGCCCTCTAAGACAATAATAAACAAAACAGACCAAAAAGAAAAATTCCTGCCATGAGCTTGGAGCCTTATTCCACAAACCTGGGTGTGAAAGGAATGGCACGTTTTCCTAAACCAAATGACCATCACTCTGATTTTGTGCCCCAGCCATGCTGGACTGGCAGGAAACTCAATTTCAGTCATTGGTGGGGTTCCCTTTGTTGCAGCCCCAGATCCTGGGATGTAACTCAGAGTGGTCCCCTGGGGTATATAGGATTCCCCGTCACTGGTGTCAGTCTACACTGGTCACTGCTGACTCACTATGGGTCTCAGCCCTCAAAAACCCAGAAGTTCCCTACAGATGGGAAGCTCTATTTGGTTCTGCACCAAGCTGGCTCAGGGATTTCTGCAAGGAGGTCCCAAGGCTATGATACTGCCTCCTGAGAAGGGCCACACAGCCATGGCTTCCAGGAAGGACCCGTCACCTCCAGGACACTGACAATGAAGATACAACTCCATCACAGACATGCTGGCTCCTTTTCCTATGGCTTATGCTTCTTCTCCCGCCACTTCCCACCTCCAAGCACCCAGGCCACCAGGCCAAGGCACACAGGCTGTCTGCAGACACCTTCAGCCCCTGAGCTGACAACAGAAGAGTCCTGTAGGTGCTGAGCCGAATAGCTGGCCCCTGGGCAGGTAGGGGAGGGAGGGAGAAATTCAGAGCACCAAGCATAAAGAATTTTCAGGCTTTTAAATTCTTCTCCCAGGGTGCAAACAAAAACACAAATTTAAATCCCAATAAATAGCCCTGGCATCATTCATATTTCTAGGTTCTTATTTGTTTGACACGGTGGTTGGGCGCTTACTGGATGATGTGTGTTCTAGGCACTTGGGGAGCCTTCCGTGATTGGTGTGATGGTTGATGGTGCTGTGAAGGTGGGGAGAAGGGAGGTGGCTGGCCCAACCCAGCTTATTTGGCTGCCAAAAATAGTCAGCTCTGGCAAAAAAAAAAAAAAAAAGAAAAAGAAAAAGAAAATAAAG